GTTTTTGCTAAAAACGGTCACTCTTCCTTGTTTTGGGGACTAAAAACAGAACAAAGTTTGACCTTTATTTTGTTTGTTAAATCTTTGTTCAGGCTCATTCTGAGCTTTGCCTATAGGTGTGTTAATCATTTATGGAGTGTCTCAAAATTGGCAAAACAAGGTTGACTGGTCCTTAATTCATATAATCTACTTCAGCCCCCTTCAAGACCAAGGACACCAAGATAAGAGATTCACAGGACATTCAACTGCTAACAAGCACCCAGAAGTCTGCAGTCATTGCCCTGAATCTATAGTCACCTTGGATTCCAGCAGAACCCCCACAAAACTGAGACTGTCCCAAGAAGAAACATTCCTCTCATGGAGACAGAATTGCTCCCTCAAGCAGTAAGGACTTCTTCCATAGATGTCTTGCAAAACCAGAACTGAGATAATCATCAACCACCTCTAGCCCATTCCAGAAAATCCATAAACCTGGTTGCACTTTCTTTTTTGTCAGTGGGCAGTACTATTCACTTTCTGTTGGTTGGACATAATACCTAATAACCACAACTTAAAAAGGACGTTTCTTTTGGTTCATGGTTCTAGTGGGTTCAGTCCATGGTTGGCTGAATCCAAGGCAGAAATGACATGGCAGAAGGACAGAGCAGATGAAAGCTGCTTACCCCATGGCAGCCAGAATGGAGAAAGAGAAGGGAGGAGCCAGGGACAAGAATATACCCTTCCAGGTCATGTCCCAAGTGGCCTGCCGCCTCCAACCAGGCCTCACCTCTAAATACAAGACTTTTGGGGAACGTCTTAGATCTAAACCATAACAAGGCCAATATACTCTGCACCAGAGCTGAAGTCCTCTATTTTCTCTTACTTTCTAACTCTGCCTGATAAGATTGCCTGTACTTCATACTGATGCATCCTGAAATGCTTTTATGTGACAGGAGTTGACAGTTTTACTCCATGGAGAGGGAGAAGTTGAGCTCCATGGCTCATCTTTTTTGTTTGTTTGTTTGCTTTTTTTTTGTTTTTTTGAGACAAGGTCTCACTATGTAGTTGAGACTGACCTAGAGCTCACTATGTAGCCCAGGCTGGTCTCGAACTTACAGTGATCCTCCTACCTCAGCCTCCCGAGTGCTGGGATTACAGGCATGCGCCACCACACCTGGCTACCATGGCTCATCTTTGGGGGACCTCATCAGACCCCATCCAGTGACAAAATTACTACCCCAAATATAAAATAAATGGACATGTGTCATAGTGATAAAAGTATAGGTTTGAATAAATAAATAAAATTTCCCACCAAATTTTATTTAATATACCATGGATTGAACTTTGCACTTGTGAGGCAGGCGCAGCGCCACTGAGCTAAATCTCTGGCCCCTAGATAGTCCTTTTTCTAAGAGGTGACACTTCATTCCTCTTTCAACCATGAGGATGTACTTGGCTTATTAGTGACTGCATTCTCTTAAATAAAACATTTTAGCCAGGCACAGTGGTACATGCCTATAATCTCAGCTTGGCTCAGTCAGGAGGACTACAAGTGCAAGCTCAATATGGGCAATTTTGTGAGACCCTGCCTTAAAAGAAAAATAAAAAGGGCTGGGGGTGTAGGTCCATGACAGAGTACTTGCCTAGTATGCAGGATGCCTTGGGTTCAAACCCAATTCTGAAAAAAAAAAAAAAAAGAAGACTACTATTTCATGCTAAGTTCTTACACAAGGCCCCACCAAACCAGATAAAAAATGAAAATGGAGTCACTCATACAAAAGTTCTACATCACCAGAATGCAACTTATTTGTTATCTTACCTTCTATAAATCAGGACAGTAAGAATAGCTGAATTTCTCAAATAGTTCAGTTGCAGACAGCATAATGAGGTCCTCTTTGCTATAAATCTTACCAATAAAAAGTAATTTGAAATAATCCAATATTAACCAATCAGTTTTTTCCTTGTTCTAGTTCCCTGTTCCTGCCTTATGATGATGTAAATTTTCAGTGACTAATCATGCTTTGACCTTGATTTCTGCTTTCTTCAGCCCTTCACTATAGATAAAATCTACTTTTTCTGTTCGGCTCATGGGACACTTATCTTTTTTTATGGAATGAAGGGTTGCCTGGTTCTACAATTATAAACAAAGCCAATTAAGATCTTTAAACTAAGTTTGTTCCAGTTTAATCTGTTGACAGTTTGCAAGAATAGTTTGTAAAGGGAAAAACTGTAATAACACACTGGCAAACACTGTCCTAACCAGTGATATGTAAATGTCATCTGTGCTGTTACATGTATTTGTGCACCTTCATCCATGATGTGATGAGAATGCTCCTCATCTCTGGTTTTCTTTTCAAAAACCCAACTCCAGTCTAGCCATGCAGAAAACATCAGCCAAATGCAAATTGAGGGAATCCTACAAAGTACTTGAAGAGTATTGCCCCAAATTATTAAAATTGTGAAAAATATAGGAAGTCTGAGAAGCTGTCACAGTGTAGAAGAGATTAAGAGGCACAGTAAGTCAATGCAAGATGGAGCAGAAGAGAACTTTGACAGAAAAGCCCAGTGAAATCTAAATGAAATTTGAAGTTTATGAATGTAAATATTACAATATTGTGGCTGACCCCCCTGCCGAGTTTACTGGCAGGCTGCGGCAGAGACCTAAGTCCTGGTCTGTGAAGCTGCCGGATCCTGCTTGAGATAACACTTCGACCAAGGACAGTGTTGCTCCACTTAAATCTCTTCCCCTAAATTTTGGTCTCACCCGACCAACCTGATGGGTTACTAGTTAATTATGACCTGGTCCTGGTCTTCCTTTGTTCCTTCTGCAGGAATCCCTTGCCCCCGTTTATGAGCCTTGCCTGCAATAACTGCTAGCCCAAGACGCTTCATACGCTGTTGCCAGATATCTCACATACACCTTGCCCTATTTCTTCCCACACATGTAATCAATAAATACTGGAGGTCTTGGGTGCCTAGTGTCTTTGCTACCAGCTCAGCGCAGACAATCCCAGGTCCCTGCTTTCTGTTTAAATCTTGTTTTTGTGTCCTTTTTTCACCTTGCATTGTAGCCCCTAGGCAGGAGATTGGGGCTGAAGGCCAGGGTACCCAATGCAATATTGGTTTCTTAGTTTTGACAATACATCTTTTGATATGACAATATTTGGGGACATTAAAATTTGTATTCAGGAACTCTACTATTTTAAAAATTTTTTAAATCTAAAATTATTCTAAAATGTATTATATTAATAATAATAATATGTTAATATTTAGGAGGTTGCTGACAGTATATAGAGCTTTCTCACTTGTTTTCCTTGTGGCTTACTATTCCATCATGTGGATTTAGTGTAATTCATTTAACCAAGTCCTCCATTGGTGAGTACTCCATTGTTTCTAATCTTTTTGCTACTACAATGTACAAGTGGTATGTCATTTACACATATAAGAATAATGAGAATAAATGTCTAGAACTCTAATTCTTGGGTTAGAAAACATTGACACTTGTCATTTTGATAAATACTGCCAAATTGCAGCCCAGCATCATGGTGGTAAACACTTATGATCCCAGCACTATGTGAGGCTGAGAGAGAAGGATCACAAGTTTGATCCCAGCATAGGTAACTTAATGATTTAGTGAGACATTGTCTCAAAAATTTAAAAAAAAACTTTTAAAAAAGGGCTGACAAAATGGAATACTACTCAGCCATAAAGAATGAGAAATTAGATTCATTCATAGGAAAATGGATACATATTGAGGATATACTCCTAAGTGAAATAAATAAGTCACACATGTAAATACCAAATAGTTTCTCTGGTGTGAACAAACTATAATAGTACATAAGATCCTAATGAGATAATTGGCAATGTGAAATAGGAAGAAAAGGGCTAAAGGTGTAGGGAAAGTGGGAAGGGTAGGGGAAAGGTAATAAGGGAAAGAAAAAAAACAGGAGAAAATGAAAAAATGGAAATAAAATGTTTGTAAATGGGGAGGAGAGGCGGGGATGAAGGGAGGGCAGGGACAAGGGGAAAAAATGAGAACCAAGGCCTGTCATGTAAGGGTACAAGATCCCAATGATGAATGTAACTGTACTGTATACCTAAAATGTACCAATAAACTCGATGGGGGGGGGGAGGGCTGACAGTGTAACTCTGTAGTAAGACCCTGGGTTCAATACTGCAAACCAAAAATAAAAACAAACCAAATTATCTCCCTTAAGTATTGAATCAATTTACACTTTGTCAAGGAGACAAAATAAAAATAAAGTAGCATTTGTTTGGGGCACTTACAATGAAGTTGGGAGGCCATTGTTAATTAGGTCTTAGTCTCCTAACATTTGCCCTGAGCTACAGGTATACCTACCCAGGTGAACCTATCCTACCTTCCCTGCAGTATAGCTGATCATAGAAACGTTGTTAACCTCTGCTGATGTTCTTATTACAGACACCCTTTCCCTAGCTACCCAGCGGCTGGGATCACATCCAATCCCTTTCTTACAAAACAGCTTATCTTTTGTCAGCACCAACCATAATTTCTGACTAACAGATGATGTAATCTCCAGCCTCCTTGCAGATTAAAACTATGAATATAGCCATCATTTTGTAAAATGTTGGAGCACATTTTTAAAGGCTGTTTGAATCTGTGTTTTCCAGATTGCAATTCTAATTATCCCCAAATAGATGTACTTTTCCTTGTTCTTGACTAAGTTGACCTTATTCTAACTCGACAGGTTGCACCAGCAATGTAGGAAATTCTTTTCTCAACATTCTCCCAACATGAATTGTAATCAAAGTTTTAAAAAATTATTAATTTTGCTAATTTAATAGGTGAAAGTAATCCTTTGGTATGTGTTTTAATTTTAACTTTTTTTATTAATAATAAGGCTGAATATCTTTCCATGTTTCTGAGGTTCCTCTGTCACCTTTTCTGGTCTTAAGCATATTTTTTGTAAAAACAAACAAACAAACAAACAAACAAACACATAAATAATAAAGGAAGTCCCACCGGAGGTTCTAGACATTGGAAGTTCTCAGCACTTCAGCAAATCAGAGAGAGTGGTGATAAACTCAGCAGTTTCTGAGTTCCAGGCAGGGATTCTCTGTTGAAGTAGGTGCTCACACCCATGTCTCAGCCTCCTTGGAGAGCCTTCCTTCATCCCCCTGGCCAAAGTTCTCTCCCAGCTTTCCAAGTGGTGGTTTTCTCATCAGCACCTGGGCCATAAATTTGGAACAGGATGCTGACTGGGGCTTTTCCTGTTGCATGGAAATAGTAACTAAAGCCTAAAGCTGAGGAAAAAAATCCTGAAAAGACAAAAATGCCAAGGCCTATCTTACTAAAGAAGGTGGCTAAGAATTTAATCCCTTTTCTGGGAACCATGAAAAAGGGGATGAAACTGGCCCCACCACAGATGACAGTCAGCATCCTCCTGTGGGCAGGTAAGAGGGAGGAGGAGTGGTCTATATGGGTCCACAAGCCAAGAAAAGTGGGGACTCCAGGGCCACAATTCACAGATGTTAGGGGTTAGATGGCCTCCTGTCCCTGAGTCAGCCTAGTGGAAATCCTTATCTGGCCCTGGCTAAGCAAGGAAGAGAGAGATACCAGGGGCAAGGAGGGGAGCAGCGGGGCAGTGCATGTGTGGAATTAAGTTTCCTAAGGGTTAAGTGAGCAATGTGGAAGTGAAATGGACTGGCTTACTGACAAGAAGCAAGCATTACCCCCTTAAACCTGAGAGAAAATGTCACCACCTAGAGGGTCCTTGCTTTACTAGAGATGTAAATTAAAACTAAAGCATGAATTTGCAGATTAAGAGGTAAAATAAGATAAGTAAGGGACTCCAGCTTAGGCAAATGGAGCTGGGCACACTCTGATGAAGGGGCTCAGACTGCCCTCCCCACTCCTCAAGGCAGGAGGCCAGTTTTTAAGGATTAGCTGAGGTGAGCCAAGTCCAGGGGATCATGACCTCAGTCCTGGTTTCATAGGTCTGGAATCCTCATGGCTTAAGAGTGTTTCTGCTTTTATGAAATAATTATCTCTGCGGTGGTTTTAGTTATGTGGGCCTCTGCTGTTCTTGGAATGTAGGTGATTACAGGTTTAGGATAATGGCTGAAGACTTCTAAGTGTAGCTGAATACTCCCTTAAATTTCTTATCCTGGTACCATCCGTCTTGAAGGGGGATGAGATGGACTAGGTAGATGTAGGGCTAATAGACGTTTCTAATCAAGGTCTTTGCAGTTGCTGCTCCACCATCTCTTCTGTGTTCCCCCTCAGACTCCATATGACTTTCCCCAACATGTTCCCTTTCAGAAAGGTCTTCCACAACCACCTACATAATCTATCATCACCTTTGCTTTGCTTTCCAACCTCCTACTATGTTTTATTTTCTTTATAACACTCATTCTCACCATTCATCTTATTTGTTATTGTCTTCCCCCTCCCATATACTTAGCATCTGATATGATGCCTGACATACAAATAGTATTCAGTGCATTTTAATGAAGTGAATGAGTAGAGTTGAATGACAAACATAACGATGGATGAGAATAGAAAGGTTAGATCGGGGCTTGATTTTAGTGCCAAGCTAAAATTCTGATTCAATTTTATTGTTCTGGGGATTGAACTCGGGTCCTTTAAACTGAGATATATTCCTAGCTCTTTTGTATTTTTTATTTTGGGATAGGGTCTTGCTAAGTTGCCCAGGCTGGGTTTGAACTTGCAATCCTCCTGTTTCACTCTCCCATGTACTGGGATTGCAAGCATGTGCCACCGTACCTGGCTTGAGTTTCATTTTCCTGGCAATAATCATTACAGGTTTATAACAGTATATGATAGGCAGAAGAGTGTCTGCCAATGATGTTTACATCCAAACCCCTAGAACCTGTGAATATGTTACCTTACCTTGTATGGCAAAGGAATTTTCCAGGTGGATAAAGGATCATGAGATGAGAGATTATTCAGGATAGCTAGGTGGGTCCAGTGTAGTCATAAGGGTCCTTATAAATGAAGAGGGATGAGAATGTCATTATTTCTGGCTTTGAAGATTAAAGGGGACCACAAGACAAAGAATGCAGTCACCCTATAGACACTGAAAATGTAAGGAAATTCATTCTCCCTGAGATCCCCCAGAAAGAATACAGTCTTGCTTATATCTTGATTTTAGTACAGTAAAACTCATTTCACACTCCTGCCTGCAGAACTCTTACTTTTTTTTTGTTTTTTTTTTTTTGGTACCAGGGATTGAACTTGGGTCCTTGCACTTGCAAGGCAAGAGACCGAACTGCTGAGCTAAATCCCCGGCCCCAGAACTCTTAGATATTTGTGTCATTTCAAATCAAAAGTTTGTTGTGATTTGTTACAGCAGCAATAGGAAACTGATACCTGCTATTGCACTGTAAATTTTTTTTTTTTTTTTGGTACTGGGAATCAAACTCAGGCCCTTGAATTTGTGATGTAGGCACCAGAACCACTGAGCTAAATCCCTGGCCCACACTGTAATTGTTATATTCTAGAAAGACGACTCATTTTAGCACCATTACCTGAACTTCAAAGCACTTGCAGCTATACTCCCGATTACAACGGATGACTGTCCATGACCCTGTTAGCAGCTACTTTTGACTCCTAAAATAACATCAGAAAAATCTGTTTATCACGTTAAACTTAGCCTGCCAGTCTTACTGCAGTAATGAGAGCAACGCCTTGCTAGAAATTTAGTATTTAAAAATGGGAAAATTAGGACAGGTTTTAGAGCCCAGGCCAGGAGAGTTTTAGGGTGGATCTTGCAAGTGGGGAGAACTGGCTAGGACTAGAGTTTAAAATAGCTTTGGGGCTGGGCATGGTGGTGCACGCCTGTAATCCCAGCACTCAGGAGCTGAGGCAGGAGGATCGCTGTGAGTTTGAGACCAGCTTGGACTACTTAGTGAGTTCCAGGTCAGTCTCAACTACATAGTGAGACCTTGTCTCAAAAAACAAACAAACTAAATAAATAAAATAACTTTGGGTGGGAAGGTACAGTCAGGTGAAGGTCTTGAAGTGAGTCTTGATGAACAAGTCATTTTATTAGGTGTTTGTTTGTTTGTTGATGTTCAAAGCCAGGGCCTCACATGCTACATGAGTGCTCTATCACTGCACCACACTCCTGGCACTGAACAAGTCATTTCAGTGTTTCATGGTCTTATCTTCCAGGAGCAATTGTTTAAGTTACTTTCACTTGATCTCAGTGTTTAATGCAAAGATAGCGAAGTATGCCTGGTTCCAGTATTGTTAAATACAGGAGCAAAGAATTAAAGTGGTATCAAGTCAACCAAATTTCTGTAATGGTCTGGATTCCATTTCTTCTCTTTACCCAAGGATTTTACTCTCAAGAGTTTTGCTTCTTTCCTGTGTACCATATGTTCTCCCTTTCTGCTGGATCATTGTCATCTTGAAAAAAATAAAATTCTCCCCACTGGTCTCCTTGATGGCTGCCTTATTTGTTTCCCTTAACAGAAAAAAATGTTTTTGTTGTTGTGTAGTTAATTGTTAACTTCGTTTTTCAATTAATATGAAAATTGCCTTTCTCCCAAGCAAACTCCTACATTCTGTATTTAACAAGTCCAAGTGTTTTATACATATTACAAATGTTTATCTTTTTAAATTAACACATATTAGTTGTACGTATTAATGGGGTTCAGTGTAATATTTCTCAACATGCATATAACTAGCCCCAATCAAATCCAACATCCTGTTTTTTTTACATCCCCCAAAAAAACTTAATAATTATTCTACACTCAGGTTGACTTTTTTTTTTTAGTTTCACATATGAGAGAGAACACATGGTGTTTGTCTTGGAAGTGCTGTTCATGGTCATCATCTTCACTTCATCTTCCCTTCCAGCTCATTCCCTCCTTTGGCCTCTACACCCCTCCATACTGGCCTTCTTTAGGTTCCTGAAATGCCCTAAATGCATTTCTGCTTGAAGGCTTTGCACACTCTGTGCCCTTTCCCTCCTCTGCTCCCCTCACCCACTATCTTCACGGGCTCTTTGCTTCTTGTCTTTCAGTTCAGCTTAAATGTTACTTCTTCAATTCTCTTGCGTGACTGTCAATCTAGAAATTTTCTATCTAGGTTCTGCAATGTCATGGCAATATTTATTTCTATTGTTATACATAACATATAATTTACAACTTTAATCTTTTTAAGTTGTATAATTTGGCAGTATTGTGTTCATACGATGTTGTGCAACCATTACCATCATCTTCCCAAACGGACACTCAGCACCCATCAAGCAGTTATGTTTCATTCACCTCACCTCCAAGCTCTTGGACACCACCATTTCACTTTCTGTCTCTGTGACTCTCACTGTTCTAGTACTTCATCAGAGTAGCTTTACTTCATTTAGTACTTCTTCAAGTTTCATCCATATTGTGGCGTGTTTCAGAATTCCATTCTTTTTAAGGATGAACAGTATTTCATTCTATGTGTATGTCATATTTTGTTTATCCTCTCATCTGCTCACAGACATTTGGGTTGTTTCTGCCTTTTGGCTATTGTGAACAGCATTGCTATGAACTTTGGAGTTCAAGTACCTGTTTGAGTCCATCCTTTAAATGCTTTTGGGTATAGACTCAATTGGAACTGTTCGGTCATATAGTAGTTCTACAATTAATTGTTTGAAAAACTATAATAGTGTTTTCTTCACACTCTGTACTATTTTTTATTTCCACCAGCAATGTATAAGAGTTCCAATTTTTCCACATCTGTACCCATAATTATTATTTATTATTTTTTGTTTTGTTTTCTGATAGCTGACCTAATAAGTGTAGGTATAAGTCCCTCCATTTTAATTCTCTCTCTCTCTTTTTTTTTTTTTGAGACAGGTAATTGAGACTGATCTGAACTCACTACGTAGCCCAGGCTGGTCTCGAACTCACAGCGATCCTCCTGCTTCAGCCTCCCGAGTGCTGGGATTATAGGCATGTGCCACCACGTCTGGCAGTTGCTCATTTTTTTGATTGGGTCATTTATTTGGGGGAGTTAATTTTTTTGACTTCTTTATATATTGGGGCCGCTTCTTACTGGATCCTTCAGCTATGAACCCATCAATGGATTAATTCATCAGTGAGGTCAGTACCCCATGATCCAGTCATCTCTGTAGGCCCCACCTCTAAACATTGCTACATTGAGACTCAAGCTCTGAATACATGAGTCTTGGGGGGAAACTTTATGTTTAAACCTTAATATTCATCATTTTAGCACAAAAATATGTAAGAGCTGGACCCTATGTCAGCACTCTCACCGTGAGAACAATTAGACTTACTAATATTGCCCAGACCTCTTCTCCATTGGAGAAACATCTCCATTTGTCTTGGGCTCAGTGCTGCTTTCTGGAAGGTTGATACCTCCACTACTTTTCAAATTTTAATATTTCAAACACCATGCTGAAGTTGTCAGTCCCATTCTGCTTACTGCCCCTGAGGAGGTAGCTAACCCAAGACCTACTAACTCTGAATTGTCTTGCAAGACTCAACATAAATATAAGTACTAAAAACCTGAGGCAGTCATGATCTTGATGTGTTTAAGGGACTGAAAGGTGCCACCTAATGTGGCTGGAGGAGTAAATATAGGAAGGGTGGTGCAAGGTGTAGATAAGAGTTGGGGGTGGTCAGAGGCGGGTGCATGGGGCCAGTGTTAAGTTTGGATTTATTTTAAGTGCAATGGGAACCATGGAAGGATTCTAAGCTAAGCAGTGTCTACCTAATCTTTGTTTTAAAAACATATCCTAGCACATGTACCAGCTTCCCAGGATGATTGTAAAATGCATGTACTACAAACGTGTATTAATTAATGAAAAACATATATCCCATAGTACCAGGTATTAAGCTAAATGACTACATCTTTGGCTGTATAATTGGTAATGAATTGAATTAAACTAAGGGTTGGTGGGTGGAGAGAGGAATCCCTGTATGGAGATGTTTTCCTTATGGCAACAGATACTGGCAAGTTAAAAACCCTAGAGTTCATGGTTGAAGCCTCAGAGAACATAGAAAAAAAAGAGCAAACTGAAGCTCAGTTTCTCCCACTCTACTCTCATGTATGACATGCTTCTGACACATAGTGTGTGGGTTTTGCCCTACCTACCACACAAGCAGTGCAGCTGCGTACACCATCTGGGTCTCTCTACTTCAGTTTGCTTCTGAAACAGTTCTCAAGAGTTCCCTCTACCCCACTTCAGATGCTAATCACAAGCTCTAGGATTTTTTTAACCTGAAATTTTGACAACTGGCCATAAACCAAGGCTTCTACAACCCCTTCCTCAGCTTCCACTAAGTGGATCACAGAACTCAGGGTAACATGTTGTTATATCCAGCAGTTTATTACAAGGGATACAGATAAAGCAATGCATAGGGTAAAGTATGAGAGAAAAGGTATGGAGCTCCTCTGTCCTCACTGAGCTGCCACCCTCCAGGAAACCGCCACATGACCCAGAAGCTCTCCAAACCTTGTGTTTTGGGTTTTTATTAAAGCTTTATTGCAGAAGCATGAATCATTGGCCATTGTGGTCAACCTAACCTTTGAGTCTCACTCCTCTCTCCAGGGATTGGGCTGTGAAAGTCCCAAACCTCTAACCCTGGCTTAGTTTTTTCTTCAATCATCCCCCATCTTGAAACCACATGGAAACTGCCAGCCATCAGTCTACTCACTAGAACCTGGACACACCATTGAATACTTCAAGGATTTTAGTAGTTGTAAACCAGGAAACAGGGTTAAAGACCAAATACTTATTTCACAATGCAGTCACAGGGCCCTTTCGTTTGTAGCTACTCTAAAGTGGAGCAGCCCTATGAAGGTCAAGATCCTGGAAAAGTTGACAGGTTGTCCTAATTTCCTTTTGCTCAGCTTTTCCCTTTCACAGTCTGCCACAAGTCAATGGGGAGCATTTTTTTTTTTTGTAATCCCCTGTGTTCTTTCAATTTAGGTTGGTGTGTCAGAGATTCCAGGAAGTTTCTGAGTTGAGTGCTGAGTGAAACTTACGGTTTTAGGGGACAGATAAGTTAGGATGAAGCCCAGGAAAGAAAGCTGGCCACACATGAAAAGAGATCTGTGAAGAAAGGAATGAAAGCCCCAAATCATGATCATAGAAGCTTTCTAGGCAAGAAGCTGTGGATGAGGTCTGAGTTCCTTATTATGTCTGCAGAAACACAGATGATGTCAGTGGGATTGTAGACTCAGGTGCCTGGCAGAACAGGAGGCTGACATCACCACCCAGGGGATGTGATGAGCTCAGACTCCAGAGAGGCCTCCTCACAGCCCCCAGTGATGCCAGAGAAGCAGCAAACATGGTCAAGAGGGCCCCGGGGCTGAGCTGCTTTCATTGCAGTTCAATTATTCTTTTCCTTTTTTCTCTTGTCAGCATAGAATCCTAGCTCAGCACATGGAGAGAGCAAGAAGGAAGAAGTACTGATGCTTGTACCCGGTAAATTGAAGCCTTATTGGGAGATATATTTCTTCTCTAAGAGCCATCTGATGTCATAGACTCTTGCTCATAGGTGGAGAAGTAAATGTGCAAACTAATAAAAGCAGCAAAAGTGAGTGTATAAGCTTTGAAGTTAGGCCTGACTACTAGCTTTAGTCTCTC